ACAGGGGTGACGTGTAGAAATTGAAAATCGATATTGGACGCCATTTTGGAATCTAAGATGGCAGCCATTGGTTTTAAAAATACTGTCAAATACCCAACAATATGGGTATTTTTGGAACGCAAACGACGTGTAGATGTTAAAATTCGATGTCCACCACCATTTTGGAATCCTAGATCGTAGCTATCGATTTTTGGAATAAAAAATAAACTATCTCTTCCTACAATATGGGTATGTTTAGAACGGGGACGACGTGTAGAGGTAGAACATATTACTGATTGCATCTGAAACTAAACTGCTCCAAAAATGCTAATAGTGTGATAAAAGTACATGTTTCTTTCAAATTGTTTTGGTGTTTTTGGACATAGATTTTTACCTCTACACGTCGTACCAATCGGAGCATACCCAAATTTTGGAATTTGAGTTTTTTTTTAATAAACCGATGGTCACGATTTTGGATTACAAAATGACGGCGGACATCGATTTTTAACGTCTACCCGTCATCCTCGTTCCAAAAGTACCCATATTTGTAAAGCTGCCTTCCACTACAGTTGTGCACAAATAACGGAAGAACTATACAATGAAATAAGCGGTAAGTCTGCTATTTTCTGGGTGTGTAAAGGATGCCGCGACATCATGGGTAACGCTCGCTTTGACATCAACGCTCGCTATGACATCAACGAACGCGGCTGCGATCGAACTCAACGACACGTACCAAAAAATAATTGAGGAGATCAAGAGTGAGATAAAAGATAGTCTAATTGCCGAAATTAGGCAGGAGATCCAGGGTGGATTCAACAAGCTCTCTCCAGCAGTGCTATCTCCTCTTCCTCCTCGAATGTTCACGTTTGGTAATCCAAAAACGCCAAAGAGACCCCGTGACGACGAATCATCGGCATCCAATCAGCCAAACATAGTTTTAAGTGGCACAGGCCAATCAACTCTCAACGTGACATCAGCCCCAATGAGTAGATCCGACGACAAATATCACCAGATGTATCGGAGGCAGACATCGAGAAACTTGCCAAAGATTGTTTGAATACGGATTAAGTTGTTGCCAAATCCCTGAAACCCAGAGGACGGCCTTTGTCACCACTGTTCTTCGTTTCATTCAAGGTTGGAGTCAATCTCGAAATGAAGACAAAAGCGATGGATCCTTCGTCTTGGCCACAAGGTATCGAATTTCGGGAGTTCGTTGAAGATGAAAGGAGAACGCAGAATTTTTGGAAACCGGTACTGCACATAGATTCTGGTCCAATGAGCAACGCCTAGAGTCAGCTGAACCAAGCACCTCGCCTCGCCAACCTAGCGTCTTGTGACCCTGCCAACATTCGCACAGATTTGACCGTATATTATCAAAACGTCCGAGGCTAGAGGACTAAAACTAACGCTCTGCTCCATTCGCTGCTTTCTTGTGATTTCGACATGGTGGTATTCACTGAAACCTGGCGTCATACCGACATTACGAATGCTGAACTCGCAAGCAATTACACAATCTACCGCTGTGACCGGAATTCTCGCACCAGCGCACTGCGACGTGGCAGTGGCGTCTTAATTGCCGTGAAATCCGAGCTGAAGTGTAAGGCTGTGCATCTTGTGGGCGTTGAGAGCCTCGAACAAATTGCTGTTCAAGTCAATCAACATCAATCGATCTTCCTGTGGTGCATCTATATTCGACCAAACAGTCAGCCCGACATTTACACCAAACACGCTAAGTCCGTACAACAGCTCCTTGGTATGGCGAACCCTCACGATACAACCATAGTTGTGGGCGATTTCAATCTGCCAAATCTAGCTTGGGACTTCGATGAGGATGTTAGAGGATTTCTGCCTTTCAATGCTTCATCTGAACAGGAACTCGCTGTAGTGGGGTCGATACTGTCTGCTGGATTGAAGCAAATCAACGATCTGGTGAACACGAATGGTAAGCTTCTTGACCTGGTTCTCGTCAGTGACTCCGATTGCATCGAGCTGTTTGAACCACCCTCTGTAATTATGAAAGTTGATTGTCACCACAAGCCGTTGGTTCTAAAAGTTGACTCCCGTTCGAGAGATCATCCGCTTCGGTACCCAGCAGCCCGCAGTGAGTATAATTTTGGATTGCCGCCTTGGATTGGGAACAAATACTTGACCAACCCACCATAGATGCCGCCGTCTCCGTATTCTACGACAACATCTATAAAGTAATCCAAGATACTGTTCCGGTAAAGACACGAAAATCTTGTTTGCAATTCCAATAACGTTGGTGGAATCCGCAATTGCGTAATCTGAGTAAAGCTCGAAAACGTTACTTTCGTTCCCGAACCGCAGCAAACAAGTATACGGTGCAGCTAGTAGAAGCAGAGTATAATAGTTTGCAGGAAGCTCGCTTTCGTGAGTACGTCGACCACCTCCAGAGGGGTTTCAAGGAAAATCCATCGTCGTTCTGGTCTTTTATCAACTCTCGGAAAAGATCAGCTGGTATTCCCGTGGACGTCACCTACGGTAGTAGAAGCTCCACCACCGACACCACTTCTGCTGACCTTTTCGCTGACTTTTTTCCGAAGTGTTTTCGAACCCGATCAAACTCCTCCACCGCAGCAATACATTGATCAGCTACCAAGATACGACATTCACCTGCAGCAGCTCATCTTCTCAGTCGATCCAATGAAAGGTCCAGGCCCGGACCGTATTCCACCGTCTTTCGTCAAGAACTGTGCAGCATCGTTGGCCACCATCGATCGCTAAGGATGGCGTTTTTCCAGATGCCTGGAAGCTCGCCTGAATTACACCAATCTTTATAATCTTTTACACCAATTGCCGACCTATCTCGATCCTGAACTGCTTGGCCAAAGTTCTCGAAAGTCTTCTGCATGATAAGTTGTATTCAGCTGTTCAACCCATAATCTCAGAGTTTCAGCATGGATTCATGAAAAAGCGCTCGACAGTCTCTAGCTTGATGACTTACACGAACACTCTTATAGGTAGCATCGAGATGCGTCAGCAAGTGGACTCCGTTTACATCGACTTCTCAAAGGCATTTGACAAAGTCCCTCACGACCTAGCCATTATGAAGCTAAACCGCCTTGGTCTTCCACCGTGGATCGTTTGTTGGTTGAAATCATACTTATCACCCAGGAAGGCTTTCGTTAAGGTACGTGATTCCACATCCGAGGTATTCCATATACCATCGGGGGTTCCACAAGGGAGTCACCTAGGACCTCTCATTTTCGTTCTGTTTATTAACGACGTTCTATGTTCCTGTAAGTTGCTATATGCGGATGATCTTAAGCTGTACCGTGTGTTCAAATCGATCGTGGATTGTTGCGCACTACAAGCTGATATAGAGCGATTGTCATCCTGGTGTCAGATGAATGGAATGCAAGCCATTGCTGCCAAATGCAAAGTGATAACCCTTACCCGCGCTCACTCTCCGATCATTTTTGATTACTCTATGAATCAATCGCCGCTGGAAAGGGTTAATGCCATTAAGGATCTTGGGCTCATCTTGGACAGCAAACTACGGTTTAACGAGCACATATCCATGACAGTTGCAAAGGCCAACTCCGCAATACTGCACAATTCGATGACGTGTACGCCCTGAAAGCACTGTACTGCTCTATGGTCGCGGTGTTTTTGAATATGGAGTACAAATTTGGACTCCATATCATGCTGTTCATGTACTGCGCATCGAGAGAATCCAGAAACGGTTTATAAAGTTTGCATTGCGACGTCTGCCATGGACAAATCCAGATAGTTTACCTCCGTACGAGCATAGATGTGCGCTTATTGGAATGCAAACACTAACAAATCGTCGAGTCTTTTTCCAGAGGATGTTCATATTTGACATGATTAGTAATCATATTGACTGCAGTTGTTTGCTCGGGAACATCAATTTCCACACTCCAGCTCGCCGTCTCCGCAACTATTACTTTTTGTGGACTCCCGGACATCGTACTGCTTACGGTTATAACAAACCTCTCGATAGATGTTGCAGACTGTTTAATGATGTGTGTGATGTTTTTGATTTTAATATAAGTAGAGCAGTTTTTAAGAATAGAATTAAGTCACTTTAAGCAGTCTGTATGGCTAAAATGTCAAAGATGGTGGTTAAATAAATATTGTTGGGTGTTTGACAGTTTTTATAAATCCTATGGCCGCCAAATTGGATTCCAAAATGGCATCCATAGTGAAGGGTATTTGACAGTACGGTTCTTCTTTATAAGTACATACAGGCATAAGCTGGCCCCAATAAAATCAAGCTGTTTTAATGTGCTGGGTACATCAAACTTTAAAACCGATGCGCTCATAGTTTTCATAGCACATTTGAAAGCAGACCTTTTTTTTTTAATTTGAAATGTTTCAATTTCATATTTGAACGAGCAGATTTAATCTGGATGTAGACAGCATACTGCTCATGTTGTATGTTTGCAGTTCAATTTTGTTCATATTACCGCATAGTAATCTGGATGAGCGTCCAAAAATGTCTCTTATGCATTTTGGTACGCAATTTTTTTAAGAGAAGCGCATGCATATCGACATTCCGCTATGCGCCCACGATCATCACAGAAAGGAATAAGATCAGGTAGTAGGTAAGAAATCGTTTTTGTAAACGATTGTAGTTGTGTAGTAATGTAAAGGGGCTTGGGGTGGATCCCACGGTTTTCTGCTCAGTAAGCAAAAACGGTCACCACTAGGCCATCGAGTTCCTTACATCACAAGTGTGTACTTTATGGAACGCCCCTATATAAACATATAATAGCTAAGCAATTGGATATCCAGCAAACATCTCTCCATTCGACACAACGACGCATTCCACGCACAAGGATAAATGATTTCAGCTTTTGATTTTTTGATTTGATTCTCACTGAAAATACACCTGATTTATTTGTACTTTTTCTTCATGTTGCTCTCCACCTTTCTCTCTCTCTCTCTCTCTCCCTATCATTTTGCCTCGCTGTCGTCATATTTTTGCCGTAACTATACAAATTAAAAATCCAAACACACAACTCCGAACTGAACAGACTCAAGGGATCACTACGGCTATAGAAATGAGCGAGGTAAATTCCCAAAATGTGTTGATTTTTATTCATCGTTACCTTTTCTATTCAGTAGAAGCGTTTTCCTTCTGGAAATATATGCTAGTTATTTAGTTCTGCCATCAGTTCCGAAAATGTAGCAACCAGCGTTTTACCCTCTTGGCTAAATGTGTCACTTGATCCTTTATCGGTTTTCTCAGGACTCACTCATGCTCCGGATCTTAATTTAGATTTCAAACCTCTTCCTCCCTTAATAGGTTATTTATGTAGAAAAGGAAAATTAAATGCGGAAATGGTGTTACATTCCTGGTCCGAAATCGGTTTAAAGTCAGATGCACACTATCCGGATTTCCGCTGTTCCTTATTCGCATTCGTTGATTTGTTTTAAGTTGTTTACTTTATCACGCTTTTTTCGGTTTTGTAATTCTTTTATTTGCAGTCTTCAATATGGCTGACGTAGAGGAGACGCTACTCTGAAATCGGGTTAGGAAACACACAGTAATATGCACAAACATACAATCGGGTGAATTTGTGGACGCAGCATCAGCAGGGCGTTCCCACTGTGATTTTTTTTATTATTGATTTTGGTTTGAATTATACGCGGATTTCCATTTTTTTTTGTTCTATTCTGGACAACCCGTCCAGAATAATTTGCGCCTAGCCGCATGTCGCGCGTTTTCAAATCAAAGGATTTAGATTGATTGAATGCGGGCCCAAGTTTTTTTTTTTTTTTCTGGGGGCAAAGTTTGTAATGCATATAAGGAACTCCTTGGACAAATCATGGACCACATTGAATGTGAGGACACACTTTTGTTAGATTTAGCTTTCTAATACAGTTGCGAAGTGAGTTTTCCGATTTCGATTTCATTTTGACGCTCAACGCTCTAACTCTAATGGCTTAGTTTTTAATATTTAATCTGCCTATACAAAACATTCTCTCAAGGCGCCATTCAAAAGTGACATCCACTCGTAAAAGGGGAGAAGGGGGTCCTACAACTTGTGAAAATTGAATATGTGAAATGGAGAGGGAGTTTTACACCCTGATAAAGATGTGCATGTCATATTTGAATCACCCCTAAAGAAAAACTGCTTCTACGCATGAAAGCAATAACAATAACAAGAAGCTTACCATGCTGCTAAAATATTAAAAAAAAATATGTTGGTAATATAAATTAACACAGACATTAATTTTAAAGATCTTTTATGAACAAAAAACTCTGCCTATACATTTAGAATATTTTTTTGAATTCTCGTGTAATATCTGAAAAGGGCCTATGACCCACCCTAATTAATATACTACAAATTCTTCCTGGAATTCTCTTAAATTTATTCATGGAACTCCCTCGAATCCTTTCAAAAAACTCTTTGTAATTTTAGCCCCGAAATTCGATTCCCTTGGTATTTTTCTTCGGATTCCATTGGAACTTTCGTGAGAACACTTGGAATTATTTTCAGAATTTCCTTGGAATTCATCACGCAATTCAATACCCTTGGAGATCTTCTCAAAATTTTGTTCGGATTCCTATCAGTATGTTTGTTCCGGTTTCCCAGTTCACTGGTCACCCTGTTAAGTGCAAAGCAACGTTAAATTATTACATATATCCACAACCAATTCATTCATTCCGTGATATCTAATTTAAAATCTGGCACTCCCAAATTTAGTTTAAAAAAAGTTATTTTCATCAGAAAAAAAAACAACCCAAAAGCAAAGGAGTTCATGGACAAAAAATTGGTAACGTTCATTGTCAACGCGTCAATTCGAAACGACCAATTAGCTTAGCACTCAAGACTACATATCAAATAGACGGACAACTCTTAAGCTTTCGTATAGTGTCTCCTACCCGGAAAATCCCGAGAAATTTACCATAAATCACGTTTCTGTTCCCTGTAAACAATTTTAGATGGATTTTTTGGAGCAAACTATAAGAAATTTCTCAAAGGAATCAAAACAAATTTATTACTAATGACCAAGTTTGAAGAAATTTCAAAAGTAATCTGAAGATCTTCTAAGGAAAATCGGAAGAATGTTCCGGAAGATGTCGGATGAGTGTTCCGATGGAAGCCAGAAGAAGTTGAAGATGCTAATTTCAAATAACAGATTGTAGTGGTAATTTTTATACGATAGATGGAGTAGATGAAAGCATAGAGCTGATAGTTCCGTTAGAGTACGGCAGTGTGAAAATTGCATATAGATATTAGAATAGCGAGCTAGGACAACTTTTAAGGAAGGTACAAATCGGTTTTTTCATCTCTCTTTACCAAACTCACCCTTTGGAGGGGGATGGTGAGGGGTGCCCACACCCCCCCCCCCCTGCCACCACTGGCAAAAAGAGATGAAAACCGATCGCTCAAATACCAACGGTGTGTTTGAAACAGTTCTACCGATTTTTTACCGCACTTCAGTTGTTATTTGAAGGAAGGCATCTAGTCGTAGGTTTGGAAATTGCAACTATTGTTTACCCCTACCACAATATGTGATATGTCATCGTCGACTTGACGATCTCGAGGGGACACGGGTGGTGTAGGTGCTGCTGCTCGAGATTGAATTTCCAAACCTACGACTGGATGCCTTCCTTCAAATAACAACTGAAGTGCGGTAAAAAATCGGTAGAACTGTTTCAAACACACCGTTGGTATTTGAGCGGTCGTTTTTTATCTCTTTTTGCCAGTGGTGGCGGGGGGGCACCCCTCACCAACCTTCACCAAAGGGGTAGTTTGGTAAAGAGAGATGAAAAAACCGATTTGTACCTTCCTTAAAAGTTGTCCTAGGTCGCTATTCTAATATCTATATGCAATTTTCACACACTGCCGTACTCTAACGGAACTATCAGCTCTATGCTTTCATCTACTCCATCTATCGTATAAAAATTACCACTACAATCTGTTATTTGAAATTAGCATCTTCAACTATGTAAATCGTTGACTTCACGCAGAAGTAATACTAAAACATATAGTCAAAGCAGAAGAAGTTTCCGGGGAACACCATGACAAACTTCCGGAGGAACCAGAAATTTCAATGCGAACCCAAAACTACTTATCAGGGAAATCGGAAGAAACTTTCGAGGATGTCAAAAAATAAACTTCTGGAGTTTTTTTTTATTATTTAAGCAACTTGGTGAAAACCTAAACCTTATGTTACACATTTTTTGCATTGAAACACAAATATTTACATTGAAAATAATCTACAACTCCAGTCCATCCTAATGATCATCACTTTGGTAAAGTCACTCATCCAGACCGGTGTACCGATTTTTATAAAACGTTTTCAATTATTTTTAGTTTCATTGAGGTCGTTGGGATCACCATTGCTGCTTTTTACTAGGATGTTCGATGACACTTTCTAATTTTTATTTGAAATATGGTAGCAAAGGCATGAGGTAAACAAATAACTGTTGTGTCTAATATTTTATTTTGTCCAGAGTCAGATAACAAATTGTGAAAAGTAATTAACTGATCGTCTAAGGATCATACGCTCCATCATCACAGGCAACTATCAGAGCTAAAAGTTGAATTTCTTATGACTAAATTATATCGGATTGCATCGACTGGTCGTTGATATTGGTCTTTAAGATTTTTTTTTAACTTTGTTAAGGAGATTTTTAGCCGACTGGCTAGTTCATCTCCAAGCCTTTTAAGATTTGAAACATACGTCGTCCTAGCATAATCCAATTTTTCGAAGGAAGCGTATTGCAAAACCAAACTGTCGTGACCGGACCGAGGTTTCCAGCCTCGTCCATGTCTACACGGATTTATGGTGCAGCTCCCACAGCAGCAATATCTGTTCCTTCTCAACGTCTGTCTCCTCCAAAATTTGTTAGAAGAATGTCGTCAACGAGCAGTAAAAGGAGTAAAATTTACGTTTATTTGCAGGTTTTTTAAGTCTCAACATTTGGTTTTACATTTCAATTGGTTAGATTTTGGCTCTTCAACTTTGTTCTAGTTAATTGGTTATTCTAATGTCAATCAATCCTCGTTTAGCGTTAATTTACATGATACCCTTTTAAGGGCTTGTTTCCTTTTGAATTTAAAAAAAATGATAACCTACCTACTTGAGCTCAGAAACCTAACTAACTACTTGAATTAGGTCACCAAATAACGAATGATCTGGTGGTTTGATCGCAGACAGGCGACTCTGAGCCTTTCCGACTCTGAGCCTCGAGTATTTGAACCACCGGCCAGGTGGTGAATCTCAGAATTACGAGTTCACGGTGGACCGTTAAAGATCATTCTGAGGATCTTGTTTTGGATCCTCTGAACAGTGCTGCAAAATATCAATTTCAATACCTACAAAATGCTAAATTTCACTAGCCACCTGATGTCAGTATCAGTTCACAAAGTTAGAATATCAATATCATTCGCCTCAATGTCAGTGCGCAAATGACATTGACATCGTAAAGGAACCACTGATATTCAAAGTTCTGTCGCAAATGTTTCTTGTATAGGCCAGCTAATCGAGTATCGATCTTTTGTAAATCCATCAGTAATATTAAAACAATGCAAAGTAGTTGATTTATTGAGATAAAAGTAAGATTTGCAACTTTTTCCTAGTGATATTTATATGGATAGTAATATCAAAGCTGTACCGCCTGATATTATGCTTTCGAAGAATATCAGTGTCGTAAGTGAAATTCAGTGCTAGACCAATATCTTATGACAATTGACATTGTTGACAGCACTGCCTCTGAAACTTTAGGTGGTGGCATTTAGCACAACTCTCCCAGATTGGCATACCATACTCAATAGCCGGCAGAATGATCTGCTTGTGGACAGCAAGCTTGTTTTTGAGGGACAGGGTGGACTTCCTGTTTATCAGAGGGTAGAGCGACCTGATCAAGATGTTACACTTGGTGGATGTCTTGTCCACATGGGATCGGAATACCAATTTGCTATCGAGGGTGAGATCAAGGTAGACTACTTCACTCGACCATTCAATGGGAGTACTATCAAGATGGACCTTGACGTTAGCAGGTGGAACAAGCCGAGATGAATTCGAGTGTGGAAACAGAATTGTTTGTGTTTTA